AAAAGACCCTCAGAGGGATGGGGGTGGGAGTGGTGGGAAGAGATAAACCAAAGAACTTATAAGCATAACCAATGGACACAGACATTAGGTTGGGGAAAGCATGAGGGGGGTGGGAGCGGGGAGGAGGGGGTCAATGGGAAAAAAAGGGGGACATCTGTAGTACTTTCAACAGTAAAAAAATTAAAATGAAAAAAATGAATAAATAAATAAAGAGCCACCCAGACACTCAGTCATCCAGATAAATGATATTTTCACACAATTTCTTTTTCTTTAATCCTCACCCAAAGGTATTTTTCTATTTATCTTCAGATAGAGTGGGAAGGAGAGAGAGAACATCGATGTGAGAGGGACACATCTACTGGTTGCCTCCCGCACGACCCCGACCAGGGCCGGGGACGAACCACAACTGAGGGACGTGCCTTTGACTGGAATTGAACCCGAGCCACATTGGTCCGCGGGCTGATGCTCTATTGCTGAGCCAAACCGGCCTGGGCTCACACAATATTTTTAACATCAAAATGAGTGCCTCCTCCTACGCCTAAATCTTATAAGACTCTCTCTCACTTGTCTTACCCTAATCCTTACCCTGTCGAATCCTGTCTTTATTTAAAATGTTTATATTTTGTTCATCTTGAATGTTTTTCATTGATTGTGGTCTAAAAATACTGCATTAAAGCACCATTTATCTTAATTACGCTGGTGCTTTAATTTATGCTCAAGGTGAGTGGCTCTCTCATCTCATCCTAGTCCCAACCCTGGATCTGAATTTAAACAGTTGTTCTAACCATGATGGTACAACTGAATATTAAGTCAAAATTACTTTAAAGAGATTTAATCATTACCACACATTCAGTATTAAATCAATATTAAAATGTTAATAATAGTCCCCATATTTTATCATCAGAAATTGGGAAGTATGTCAGAGAAACAAAGGAAACTAAAGTATGCTGAGTCTTCATCCCTAAAGGAGTCAGAAAATAGTGTCATTCTTGACTTTGCTGATTAGATAAATACAGGTTAAAGAACCTGTATGAAAAATGTAACGGTCCCTGGCTGGGTAGCTCAGTTGATTAGAGCGCCAAGGTTTCAGGTTTGATCCCCGGTCAGGGCACATAGAAGAATCAACCAATGAGCCCAACGGGTGTGGCTCAGTGGTTGAACATCAACCCATGCACCAAGAGGTCGCCAGTTCAATTCCCAGTCAGGGCACGTGCCCAGGCTGTAGGCCCGATCCCCACTGGGGGGCATGCAGGAGGCGGCCAATCGATGTTCTCTCTCATTGAAGTTTCTAACTCTCCCTTCCTCTCTCTCTTTAAAATCAATAAAGAAAATAAAAGAGAACACAACAGACAGAGAAAAGGCTAAAGGAGATTTAACTGTGGGCTTCAGGTTTGACTGAACAGTCTTGACCTGTCCTTGGCCTCAGGGTCAGCCTTGCCTGGAGGGCTGAGAGCCACAGTCCCCATGCCGGGCTGCGAGGCCTCTGCCCAGAGGCCAGTGACGTGTGATGGCACCTGGACGGTCTCTCCTTCTTTCTACAACAGTGAATTCATGCCTCCCGGGTTCAGTAGACCCGAAAGGGTGCTCCAAAATGGAGGGGGCTGACAAACTGGGGAAAACCAGAAGGCACATTTACGATGGAGAGCTGTTAGTATCCAACAGATTTCTCCTTTTTTTAAAAATCCTCCCCTAGGACATTTTTTCATTTTTTGTTCAGATAGAGCGGGAGGGAGAGAGAAGAAGAGAGAGAGAGAGAAACATCGACATGAAAGGGACACATCGAGTGGCTGCCACCCGACCCAACCAGGGCCTGGGACAAACTGCAACCGAGGTATGTGCCCTTAGTGGGAACCGAACCCGGGTCTCTCTGGACCGCAGGCCGAAGCTCAAACTGCTGAGCAAAACTAGCCAGGGCTCTAACAGATTTCTTTTAAGAAGTTGCCACTCAGAAATTCTGTTGAGAGAGAATTGAAAAAAAAAAAAAATCCACCCATCTGACATATTCTGCAATGCTAGTTTTTCTGTTTTCCTAATATGCTATTCCCTGAAGGAATTGTCACATCCATCTTAGCTTTTAATCACAAAATAAGGGGAGGTGATGAAGGGTACATTTTCACCAGAAGCAGCAGGTGTCAGGGAAGAAGGTGTAAGAGACAGAAAAAGCAAAGGGAGTCTCTGATTGGTGGAAAGGAGATGAACACGGGGAGTCAGAAGATGTCTCTCTCCCCCCCTCTCCATCTCTCTCTTTCTCTCTCTCTCTCCCCCCCTCTCCTTCTCTCTCTCTCTCTCTCTTCCCCTCTCTCCCTCTATCTTTCTCAAAAAGACCAGACTCCCAAGCAGCCCAGCCATTTCCAGTCCTGATGCAGTCCTGCCTGCCTCCCTGTGCAGAAGCAGAGGCTGCCTCTCGCCGGGGAAAGCGTCATCGGTCACTCGCCTCTGTCACATTGCCGAGGCGGATCCAGCAGTCACCAGGGACAGAGGAGAGCTGCACAGCGTAAGCCTGGGCCAGGAAGCCACGTCGCTTTAGTCATTGTAATTACAAATCTCTCCACAAAAAGAGGTTCGATGAAACCTGTGGGCTCGCTGCACCCTAGAGGCGACATCAGAGACGGGTCCAGGAGCCCCAAGCCCAGAGGCAGGAGGCAGATGAACACGCAGGTATTTTTGGAGTTCAGTCCAGGGGCTCCGTGTGTGTGAAATGAAAGGAGCATTCGGGAAGCAAGCTTTGAAGACAAAGGTTCCAAAGACAACGCATTGCCCAGAAGATACAATGGAATGCTGTAGGAGATGAAATACTACAAGACCACAAATTTGTTTCTGATTTAGAAAAGGGACAGAAGAAAAAAACAGCACAGGGCTCAGAAAGCAAAAAGACTTGAAGCCAGAACGATGCGTTTGGGTGTTCGGTACTGGGGGGGGGTCTGTACCTCCCTGCCCACCGAACATGTAAAGGAAACCCTGCAGAGTTTTGCTCTAACGAGATCTTGATTTCTATCACCCCAGCCCGGCACGTCCTAGATAGAACCATTATGTTTTTATCAGTGGGAGTCAGGCTGCTGCAGCTACTATCAACCTCAAGCACCCTGAGATCCTAAACACATGTGTTTTGTGATGACACTCCCGGGGTTACCATATTCTCTTATTCCACTGGTTTGAGATTCTGGAATTTAGTTCTAACTACAGACAGTAATTCAAAACAAATTTTCCCCAATATGTGGCACAGATTTAATTTTTTTTATTTATTTATTTTATTGTTGATTTCTTTTATTTTTTGAGAGAGAGAGAGAGGGAGAAACAGAGAGAGAAACATCATTGTGAGAGAGAAACATCAATCGGTTGCCTCCAGGGCATCAAACCCACAACCTAGGCAGGTCCCCTGACCTGGAGTCAAACTAGAGACCTCTTGGCGCGTGGGTCGATGCTCAGCCACTGAGCCACATGGCCAGGCTACATGAGAATTTTTCATACTATTCTTCCAGCCTTTCTAGAAGTCTGAAATAATTTTTTTTTTTTTTATCCTCACCCGAGGACATTTTTCCATTTTTTGTACAGATAGAGTGGGAGGGAGAGAGAGGAAGGGAGAGAGAGAGAGAAACATCGACGTGAAAGGACACATCGAGTGGCTGCCACCCACACGACCAACCAGGGCCGGGGACAAACTGCAACCGAAGTACGTGCCCTTAGCGGGAACCGAACCCAGGTCTCTCCAGACCGCAGGCCAACGCTCTAACCGCTGAGCCAAACTGGCCAGGGCTGAAATAATTTTTTAAGTAAACAAAATAAATATATACCTGCCCTGAGAAAATTATGATGTGAGCAAAACAGTGTCCCTGGCCCCAGTTAGGGGACCTAGCGCCCATCAGGTGGCACAAAGAACCCCAGGCACAGTGGGAGGAGCCCACCTCTCGCCTCTTAGGTGGGTGACCTTGGAAAAGTAATTTAACTGCTCTGGGCGCCTCACCCAAATGATGGGCATAGTAATACCTACTTTGTGACGATGTCAGAAAAGGTGTAGCAAAGGCCAGGCGCTGGTGGCATCGAACCTCAGGAAATGACAGTAGGTGCTACAGAAAGAAACCCACGTGACCCAGACACTGTCTCCTCCGGAAAACCGACATCTCTTTCAATCTTAGTAAATGGAGAGCAAAGGGGCCTTGAGAAAAATGTGACAGACAAGACTCTCATCACAGCGCACTTCACTCTTTGTCCGTTTCCTCGTTAATGAAGTTAATTCTGGGCAACGAAGCTCGTGGGGCCCCCGCGAGTCTCTCAATACTAATACTTTCTAATTGAACACGGCACGGCCAACCTCAAGCTGGTTCCACCTGCATCGCTGACGTTAATCTTCACTAATGTCTCTGTATCTGCTCATTGATTAAACTCTCCTCCAAAAGGATGAGGCATCTCGGGGGGGGGGGGGGTGTTATTATCTCCGGCTTCTAGATTAAGAACTAGCAATGCTTCTGGTAGGTATTCCCGAGAAATCCTCACCTGAGTCCCTGACGGGGAGGGACATGCAGGGAGACGCTCCCTGCAGCGAGGCGAGCGGGGCAGAGGGCAGGGGCGGTGTGGCCACCACTGGACAGTGTTGGGTAAAACGTGGCGGACGCACCACAGGCTCCGTTAGAAATAACAGACCAGGTGCCGCCTAGCGAGGGACCTTGAAAACACAACACTGAGTGAGAAGACACAAATGGAACGAGACTCAGAATGCGGTGCCAGCAAGTCTAAAAGGAGTTCCTATAAACATGTTAGCTAAGTGTTTCCTAGGATGTCATGCTTCTAATTGGCAGAAGAAAAACAGATCCCATGCTGGGCAGGGAAGGAGAGAGGCGTGCATGGAGAGACACTTGGATGGTGGAGAAGAGGTGGATGTGAAGGAGGAGGGCGATGGGGTGCACGTGTGCACGCATGCACACACACACACACACACACAGGTGCACACACACCCCGGACAGCATTCATTTTCAAGCACAGAACTGCCCACCGAGAGCTCTCACCTGAGGCTGCGGGCCTGCGGCCGGGCTGGCCCACCTGGTGCACACTCTGCTGCAGCAGGTTCAGGCACTCCCCGAGGCAGCTGAGGGTAGCCGCGGAGGTAGCTTTCAGGAGCAGCAGGTCCTGGTCCAAGGCAGTGAGGGGGCCAGAACCCGGCAGAGACTCGATGGCATGCACGAGGTTCTTCTGCTGCCCTTCCACCTGGTTCATCATCTAGAGCGGGAAGACAGCAAGGAGGTGAGAGTCGGCGTTGCCTCTCAACGGGCTTGGGGGCCAGCACTTAAACCACGGGACCAGGGAATAGTCCGAGGAAAGTGGAGGGAGGAACCATCGTCACCCAGACGACAAGCGACGTCAGGGTCAGCTCGGACGGTGTTCAGTGACTGAGTCCTCTACCCAAAGGCACACATACTCAGCTCTGATCACCGGAGAATTTTAGAACTTTAGAGCCGAAAGGGGCCATTAGGGCCACCTGGACCCATCCTTTTACAACTCTCCTGAAAGTAAGTCGATGAAAGACACATTACAGGTAGAAGTCCCTGTGACCATCTCTAAGGTTCTTTCACCGTGGAAGGTTATCTGAGAGCGTGGGCGAACCGAGGCTTTGCCTAGAGCAAGGTCAGCACCTTGCACCTTCTCCAGCTCCTATTCCTAACTCCCCGGCCGTCTTTTGGAAGTTCAAGACACGGAAGTGAAATCTAGGGCTGCTGATTCGTCCGAGCGAGATGGGAGTAGAACCTGCGTTGAACCATTCCGGCCCCCGAAATGCCAAACAGGGTGTGGCTTTCTTAACGCCACGTCAGATGGCAGGAGGAAGGAATGCCCAGGGCTTGCAGAGCCAGCCCTATTCCACCCCAACGCCATGCCAATCCCACGTAACCAACTTTGCAGCCTGGCATCAACTCTTAAGCTACAGATAAGCAGTAGTCTAATTGTATCTTCAGACTGAAGGTACGAGGAGAAAGGAACTCAAGAGGAACTCAAGAACTAGAAAAGGACTTTGCTGGCTATCTTGCGAAGTGCATCTCCCTCCTGTTTTACAGCTTATCTCCCTACACAAGACGATGTTCAGAAGTGCACAGAAGCAGTCATTCTTTTGGGCTAAACCAACCTGCCCAGGGGCCAGGGCTGGTCAGCATCAGAGGCTGGGGCCAGCTCCTGACTCGGTCCACTGTTCCTCAAGCTTCCCCCACGAAAGCCATCCTTAACCTGAAGCAATACCTCCTGCTCTGTCACTGTCATCCCCCTGGGAGGCTTGTTACCATCATGATGTCAACAGCTGGGGAGAAGCAATAATTCTGTCAGGACCACTGAGTTTGGACATAAAACTCATTCCATGCTCAGCCTTATTTTTCTATTTCCTCTCGACTTGCTGTTTTCTGGCAGTCCGTGTAATTGTCTGCGTTAAAAAAACAAACAAAAATGTATCCATTGCAATCCTCCTTACCAAAATAGGTGGCAGTATTTCAACAAGGTTTTTTTTTTGAAAAATCAGTGTTGAACATATTGCACACACAAGGTCGGTGGCATCCTCACCTTGCTGTGCACACCGGCCCTTCGGCCATGCGTACTGGGGGTTTTTGCAGATTACAGTTACACCTAGCCATCCTGGCTCCTAACGGTGTCCGAGACGTAACGGGCTCAGTAAGTAATTCACTTCTCCTTCAGGTCTTTGCTTTAAAGTCCCTTCTGACGAAGGCTCCCTGAACCACATCATTTAAAACTGCACCTCCAGCCCATCCCTTGGCATGCCTGTCCTCCTTACCAGCTTATTTTTCTTTATGGCACTTACCACCTTCCAACCCAACTTACAGTTTACTTATCATGTGCATCTGTGCTAGAGTGAAAGCAGGGATTACAACTGCTGTTCACTACTATATCCCAAGTACATTAAGTGTCTGTTGAACGAATGCATGAACGCATGAATGACCCCCAGTCTCACTCGTCCACCACCCAGGTGCAAGAGACCTTTTTATTTTTTAATCCTCACCTGAGGACATTGTTTTGCATTTATCTTCAGATAGACTGGAAGGGAGAAAAAGGGAGAAACATCGACGTGAAAGAGGCACATCGAGTGGTTGCCACCCACATGACCCAAACTGGGGCCGGGGACAAACTTGCAACCAAGGTACATGCCCTTAGCAGGAACCGAACCCAGGACTCTCTGGTCCATGGGCTGACACTCTAACTGCTGAGCCAAACCAGCCAGGGTGCAAGAGACCTTTTAAATGTGCATTTATGACACGGTTAAGTCTACAGAAGTCATTATGCTTGATAAGCATAATATGGCTAAGATCTCATGAAGAATAATATTTCCATTATCAGTTTAGGTTTGCCAAGAAATACAGCCAACTGGTTTAATTTAACCTCAAGAAAGATAAAGTGTTTACGTATTCTCTGACGGTCAACTATATGTAGAGCTGCTAATAGCCAGGGAGAAGTGGACTTCCAATTATTGGTGGTAGTCAGCATTTCTGTAAATTCCTACCATAACTTCTTGTCTTAGAAGAATGATGTGTTAAAAGGGAAGAAGAAAATAGAATGATGAAACATATAATACATTATGTGCTGGACTATTGTACATGATGTAATAATGCTTCAGAGAAAAGGTGAGTAAAATTAAGCCATTAACTATATGGGATACACTTGGTTTTTGTTGTTGTTAATCCTCACCAGACGACATTTTTCCACTGATTTTTAAAATAGAGTGGAAGGGGGAGAGGGAGGGAGGGAGAGAGAGAGAGAAACATTAATGTGAGAGAGACACATCAATCGATGCTTCTTGCACAACCTGACCAGGGCCAGGAATGGAATCTGCAACCCATGTATGTGCCCTTGACCAGGAATTGAACCTGTGACCCCCTGGTTGTGGTCCGACACCCTAACCCCTGAGCCAAACTGGCCAGGGCACTATACTTGTTTTTAATCAACAAAAAGAACTAACTATATTCCAATGGTATTGCACAGGATAAATACTTATTTCATAAGCATAAAATATTATGTAAATCTCACCCTGGCTAGTTTGCTCAGTGGTTAGAGCATTGGCCCTTGGACTGGAGAGTCACTGATTCAGTTCTGGTCAAGGGTACGTACCTTGGTTGCAGTTTGGTCCCTGGCGGGAGGCAACCAACTGATGTGTCTCCCTCACGTCAACGTTTTCCTCTCTCTCTCTCTCTCTCTCTCTCTCTCTCTCTCTTCTCCCCTTCCTCCCTCCCTCCCTCTCTCCCACTCTATCTGAAGATAAATGGAAAAATATGCTCAGGTGAGGATTTAAAAAAAATATGTATTATGTAAATCTCAAGTAATAAAAACACAGAACTGACTTAGAGAATCTTCTGTCTATTACAACAGAGGCCATGCCCAGAGATGACATTCACATAGCTGCCTGTGGAAAGTATCCAACAGTGTTTATTGAGAGCCTACTTATCGCTGGTGCCGGAGTCAGGACTGCCTTGCTGGAGCGGGCATCTGAATGCAGGGGTACCTTTGACATTACCGTGTCTGAGAACTACTGGCACTGGGGGGGGGGGGTCAGGAGTGGTGAGTACCCCACAAACCAGGGCACAGTCCATACAACAAGAACGTTCCTGCTCAAAATGCCAAGAGTGCCCCCTTGAGTTACCCTGTGCTGGGGACAGAGAAACAACCAGCACTTGATGGCTTCTAACATCCTTCTTGGTAAACTGAACCCTGAAAATGAAACCAAGCTAGCCCAAGGCTTGCCACCCGGGAGACTCCTCCTCAAGATGCATTTTCTCCCCTTTTTCCACGCGACACAAAACAGAACTCTAGTCTTGCGTGACACAAATCGATACCAATCTTCACTTTCTTTGAGCTTCATCGGGCTCCAAAAGAAATGGAATGAACCCTAAAAGGACCGCAGGACGCCGGGCCCCAGAGGGGCTCGCCAGACTCATCACTGCGTGAACGTCCCCCGGGCAGGGAGGCGCTGAGGAAGAATCGCCACCCGCCTCAGGAGGAGCAAGCCTTAGCCATTTCCATGCCTGACTTTAATACGGGCACATGCGACGAGATGGACGCGGCACCGCAAAGCTGGGCGCAACCGGCACACCAGCAGCCGGGGGTTCCAGCGGCCGCCTGTCCCGGCCGCGGTCCCCCAGGCTGATCAAGAGCACAGAGCACAGAGCACAGCCACTGACAGCGACTCGCCCACCACTCTGGGCTTTGAAGAACCCCGGCTTTGAAAACGGGAGCCTCTTCAAGGACGGAAGAGTCAAATCCCAGCTCCACACTTCCTCCGAGCACCACCACTGGTCACGTGTACTGCTTAGAACCCAGCAGAAGGACGCACGGTCTCCTTTCTCTCTGGCTTTCGGCTTCCACAGGCGGGGCCCTCGCCATCTGTGACACGGGGTCCAGAGACCCACCCCCCCTGGCCATGTCAGCTCTGAGGCTGGAAAATCATCCACGTGAGGGTCAAGTGGAACTTCACAGATAAGCAAACTCCACAGGAGGGGGGAATTCTGTGGTCTGTTTATCCAGCACACACAAGGGCACATGCAACATAAAATCAGATCACAGGAGCTAATGCTAATAGAATCAGTGGTGGCAGCTTTTATTTTATTACTTTACTTCAATAAAGCTGAAGCCAAGATGCACAGACCCCAGCCCAATGTCACCCAGCTGGACAAGCCTGACCTGGACAGAGAGAGAACTGAAGGAGGCGAGGGGGAGGGGCTCACGGGCCTTGATGGCTTCGGAAGGCTCTGGGCTGCAGACCTTGAAAGTTTGAGAGGCACCCGAAGGCCTGGTCCTGACAGGCCAGATGTCAATGGACACCAGCTCAGTGGCTCATCCATTAGTAATCAAAGGATGAGCATCAAGCAGCTTCCCAACTCAGATTCCTTCTCCTGGAGGAACCAGGACTGCCTGCCTCGGCTGGCAGAGCCCCCTGGGTTCACAGCTCCCTCGATGCCTCAGTAACTCCATCCACCTTGCCTGGAGCAGACCGAGCATCTGACGCTAGCTTCAAGGTGGTCTGGGTTTGGCATTTCTCCTTAGCCTAGTGTAACTTCAAAGTCCCCTTTAAGTCTCCCCTCTGGTCAGGGGTCAGTCCTTGGCTAAATTAGATACTTTTTCACTCGGCCAAAGTCCTCATCTAAGCTTGAAAACCATGCTTCAAGGAGCTATAGAACGAACACGTGCACGCGCGCACATACATACCCCCCTTACTTTCTCCATTAAGATAGGAG